GTCTGCAGTTGTTATAAAGAGGACATGAATGGAAGTCCATGGAATGGTGTTCAGCCTAGAGGAATCGCTCGGTACTGTAGCTATTTTCTCAGTCTCCAGGAGGTCTCGTGGACCTACAGAGGCCGCTTAGGCACTCTTTATACTCTAATCCTCTTCTAATTTTCTGCATAGCAAAGAGATTAAGTTGTACAGAAAACTCAATAATACCACGTGTTCTTTCTCTTTCATCCCAATCCTCCCCCTAAGGATTCTAAAGCATCCAGTAGCCCCCTTCAAGCATAGCCCATCACACGTTTCAGATACGCTATGGAGGTCACGGACTAGGGTATCGGTTTGCTCTTGATTCTAAAGATTAACTAGGTCTGTAAAGTAGAAAGTAGATATAAACTGATGAGAACTGGCAAAAATCCCCATCGAAGCCTCATAGTTAACCAGTATGACCAGATTCACCATCTCGGGTACCAAAGTTTTTTTAAATTTAATTTTTAAAGCAATTTAAGTAATTATTCTCCCCCAATGACCTCTTAACCAGAAGTCTAATATTATTTTCCTGAGGTCTTTGAATGTCTAAAACCTTAGGTGCTCAGGGCCAGCTGCGGGTGTCTCCGTCCTCACCACCATCCGTTTGTCGTACTTTGTTAGCTTGCTCGTTGCTGTGATGCTGGAAGCTGTGCCACTGGTATTTCAAATACTAGCAGGGTCACCCATGGTGGACAGGTTTCAGTGGAGCTCCCAGACTGAGACAGCCAAGGAGAGGCCTGGTGATCTACTTCTGAAAATTAGCCAATGGAAACTGTATGGATCACAATAGAACATTATCCAATATAGTGCTAGAAGATCAAGCCCCAAGGTTGGAAGGCACTCAAAATACACAGCAACAATGGACTTGAGCATACCAATGATCGTGAAGATGGCACAAGATTGGGCAACGTTTCATTCTGTTGTACATGGGGTCGCCATGAGTCAGGGCCAACGTGAAGGCAACCAACAACTCCTCCCTCTAGCTAATGGAACTGTTCTTTGCTGCAGTGGCTTGTGGCTGCCACAAGGTGTCGCTTTCAGTGACTGGTCTGCACAATTGTAAAGGCTGGGATGTTTGGGTATTCAGGACCCTGCTTTGGCCACACTGATGGCACGTGCTTGGCACCAAGTTTGCAGTTCTTTCCTAAGTACAGTACTTTGAAGTTTTGTTTAGATGTCTGCCTCTGCCTCCAGAGTATGAGCTTTTGGAAGGAAGAATGTTGTCCGATTCATTTCTGTCCTCATCTCTCCCCAGCAACTAGCACAGGGCTTTACACATGTCAAAATTCTGAAGAAATAGTAATATTAAAGAAGAGATGACATTAAAATGTATCAACTAAAAATAATTTCAATGTCTCCCAATAATAGATCAATAGAACAAGTTTTGATCCATGCAAACAGATGATCACTCTGCCCTCACTAGCCCTGGTTAAGGATGAGCACAGTGAAGAGGGCAGATGTAGCCCAGTTGTGGAAGGAGACATCACTGTGTGCTGGCCTCAGGTGGGGGTCGTTTTGTTGAACAAAGAGCAGGGTGAAGAGGGGTGCAATCTGCCCTCCCCAAAAGCCAGAGATCAGAAAATGGAGTTTCTCTTTTTTTAAAAATTTTTTTACAATTGTACTTTAGATAAGTTTACAGAACAAATAGTTTCTCATTAAACAGTTAGTACACATATTGTTTTATGACATTGATTAACAACCCCACGACATGTCAGCACTCTCCTTCTCGACCTTGGGTTCCCCATTACAAGCTTTCTTGTCCCCTCCTGCCTTCTAGTCCTTGCCTCTGGGCTGGTGTGCTCATTTAGTCTTGTTTTGTTTTATGGGTCTGTCTAATCTTTGGTTGAAGGGTGAACCTCAGGAGTGACTTCAGTACAGAGTTACAAGGGTATCCGGAGGCCATACTCTCGGGGTTTCTCCAGTCTTTGTTAGGCCAGTAAGTCTGGTCTCTTTTTGTGAGTTAGAATTTTGTTCTACAATTTTCTTCGGCTCTGTCTGGGACCCTCTGTTGTGATCCCTGTCAGAGCGGTCAGTGGTGGGAGCCGGGCACCATCTAGTTGTGCTGAACTCAGTCTGGTGGAGGCCATGGTAGTTGTGGTCCATTAGTCCTTTGGACTAATCTTTCCCTTGTATTTTGTTTTCTTCATTCATGGAGCTTCTCTTGAGCAACAAATTGTTATCCAGCAACTGCCTGAGGGCGAGTCATATGGATACCTCACATTTGTTCATTCAGTGGTTTCCAGGTTTCGTTTTTTTGTTTTTATTGTGTATAGAGATTGCAGTGGTGAACATTTTCCTGATGATTGCTTTTAACATCTGTCTAATTACTTTCTTGGGATGAATTCCTGGGGGAATGATGGCTGAATCAAAGGTATTCAGTCAAATTCTCTGTGGCTGCAGCTTGACATTACCACATTACTTTTCTTTTTAGAAATTCGATCCATGTTTTTAGTTTGAAACATAAAAGTGTATTGATGAACCACTTGCTTGTTGAGGAAATCGTTAGGTTTGGTAGGTGAAGGCTCATGCTGGAAACTGGAAAAAGTTCTGGCTTAATTATCTGCTTAGTTTTTCTCAAGCCTTTAGGGACACCCAGACGTCTGTAGTCTCTAGTTCGATTGCCTGTCCTTTGGCCCCCCCTTCTGGAGATTCACTCATGAACTTGTGTGGCCCTTCCCAGGGTATCTGCTTGGGGACAGGGAGTCCCTGCGTGGTGCAAACAGTTAACATGCTTGGCTGCTAACCAAAAGGTTGGAGGTGTGAGTCTACCCAGAAGCGCCTTGGAGGAAAGGCCTGGCAATGTACTTCCAAAAAATCAGTCTTTGAGAACCCAGTGGAGCACCGTTCTACTCTGACACCCATAGGGTCACCACTGAATCAGAATGGACTCCATGGCAGCTGATTAACTGGTTAAGGAGAGGCAGAAAGAGCATGTTGAGAGGAGGCTTGTGGTGGGGTGAGGTGGAGGTGAGTTCACCTGTCACTCAAGGGCCCAGGTGGCACTTGTAGGCAGACCGAGCCTACACATCCAGCCTCCCTTAAAGTAGGATCACTTTCATGTTGCCGTTGATCAGTTCCTAATAAACAAAGCTGGTCCTACCAGTTCCCTCTCACCTCCCATCCATCACTCAGCCATTTAAAGCTCCTCATGCACAGGATGAAGCTGCATCTCCCGCCTGGAGTACAGAGCCCGTCACGTGTTATCTCCATCCTCCCCCTCCAGCCTCGCTTCTTCCAGCTGATTTCAATGCACCCTGTGGACTTCATGCCCCAAGCAGCCACCTTTTCACATATACCCACACCGGTGCCCCTGCCATTTCTGCCTGGAGCACGTGGTCCTCCACTCTCTCCCTTACAACTCAAAGCTTTTCTTCAGGTCCCTACTCACAAATCACCTCCCTAAGGAAGTCTTAAAGAAGCCCTGGTGGCACAGTGATTAAGCACTTGGTTGCTAACCAAAAAGTTGGTGGTTTGAACCCACCAGTCGCTCCTTGGGAGAAAGACATGACAGTCTACATCCATAAAGATTTACAGCTTTGGAACCTCTATGGGGCAGTTTTACTCTGTCCTATAAGGTCGCTATGAATTGGAAAAGACTAGACAGCAATGGGTTTGTTGTTCTGAGGAAGACTTCTTCAACTCTCCAGGCAGAAGTCGTTCTTTCCTGGGCACCCTGAGTCCCCTGTTCGTGCCACTAAATAAGTGGTGTTCACTGTGTGTCATAACAGTGTGTGCCTCTCTGATCCTGACACTTGTCCCCACCTGGTGAGCTGGCCCCGTATCATACTCATGTTGCCTACAGAGGGTCTGGCACCCTGTAGATCCTTGAGAAGTATTTGTGTAATGGATGAATGAATGAGTGAATGAGTGAATAAACGAGTGTGTTTCCTTGCTGTGGAGTTTGGGGGTTCTCTAATTGCAGGAGGACATCCAGGGAAGATGTATTTAAGCCGTATACTGGGCTTCACCCAAGCCCTGGAGAGAGGAGGATGAGCTCCCGTGAGGCAGGGAGATGGATAATAAGACCTTTGTGATTCTTAGATGCTTCAGAGCAGGCTCAGAGGGAAGGCAGGTCCCTGAAACTGGTTGAGTCAACCCTAGGAAGAAAATGTCACATGATGTCCTCTCAGGAATGCAATTAAGGCTGCATCCTGCCGTTGAAGAATCTTTCAGCATCCAGTCCCCGAGAAGGGCAGATGTGGGGCTTGGTGGCGGGGCCCCTGAGCACGCAGCCAACTCCTGCCTGAGTGCTGGGGAATCTCCAGGAGAAGCCACAGACTGGGGCTGGGGGTGCTGAGCCCTCCTGCCCCAGCAGCAACAGGTTAGTGTCCCTCGCAAGACAATCATGGGGATGGGGAAGGGCTGTGTTGGGACTGTGCAGGTTCAAGGCAGCAGAGGTGGGCAAGGTACCTGTTTAAGAGAATGTGTGCAGTGTAGACGGATGTTCCAACATCACAGCTGTGGTCCCCAAAGGGGTTTACTATTGTTAGCTGCCGTTGAGCTGGCCCCAACTCATGGTGACCCCATGCACAATGGAATGAAATGCTGCCCGGTCCTGTGCCATCCCCATGGTTGGCTGCCAATCAGTTCACTGTGATCCATACAAGGTTTTCACTGGATAATTTTCCAAAGCAGATCAAAAGGGGTTACCAAAGGGGTTTTGGACCCTGAATTATAAGCATATCTTTGGGGTTATTCTTAAAAGATTTTGGTTTGAATCCAATCCCAAGTGGGTAAATTGTGCGACCTTATAAAACTTGCTTAATGTCTCTGGGTTTCATTTCCTCCTCAGGAAAATGGGGACGGTGACGCCTGGTCCCTGTGAGGCTGAAATGGATAACGTACATAGAATGCTTAGCTCGGTGCCTGGCCGGCTCCACACGCAGTAGAAGCAGCTAGAAGCAGCGGTAGTTGTGATTCTTCTCTGTCCAGAATTCTGGAAAGCCTGTTGATCTGGCAGGGTATTCCCTCCCCTGAAGGCAGAGGTCTCCGCATGGTGTGGGGAGAGGGTGGCCATGGGCATTGTGAGCTGGTGTGCGTGGAGCACTGGGATGAGAGCTGCGGGGCCAGGCCGTGGGCCTCTGCCTCCAAGTGTCCCAGCTGCTGCCCAGCCCAGCGCACAAAGGCTGGGGGGCAGGTACAGGCTCTTAAGGGCTGCAGGGGTGGCACCAACTTCGTGTAGTCTCTCTTTGTAAATGCTGAAACTGATACCAGACAGGGCCACCCTGCAAGGTGGGAGCAAAGATGGGCATCCCTGTGTTGTAGGCACATTCGGTTGAGAGGGAAAACAGCATCACCCTGCATGACCAGGGCTGAGGTTTCCAGGTAGTATAATTATTTTAATAATCCATTTGGGGTATAAGATGGTCTATGGTAGTGGGCAACCTGCCTTCTCAAGGGGTTTTAAAATATTTCCATTGGAAAACAGCATAAACTCCGTGTTGATTCCAGGAGTCTTTAGTATCTCCTTGTTCTTGACTTTAGGTCACTCCTAAACTAAGAGTAAAAAGGTCGTGGGTGGCACAAACAGTTTGAGCTCGGCTACTGACCTAAAGATTGGCAGTTTAAACCCACTCAGTGCCGCTGAAGAAGAAAGGCCTGGAGATCTGCTTCTGTAAAGATTACAGGCAAGAAAACTCTACAGAGCAGTTTATATTCTGTAACCCATGGGGTCGCCATGAGTTGGAATTGACTTGATGGCAACGGGCTTGGTTTTGGTAAACCAAGAGTGAGGTTGGAAGGGAGGTGGGCACAGCTCTTGTCCTCAGGAAGGCCCCAATCTGAGCGAAGACATAGAGCTCTGCCCTGAGCTTTAGCAGGAAGGCTTCTCGTAGGTCAAGGACTTTGAGCCAATTTGGAAGGAGTCAGATGGAGGGCAGGGAGGACACCTGAGACAAGGTGTAGGAATGTGGGCAAGAAAGAGGGCAGAAGATTCAAGCTGCTGTGGGATGCCCCAGACCAGGTGCTGTTTTCTCCTCCTCTCAGATTCTCCCCTGCCCCCTGCTGCTCTACTCCCAGGTCTCCAGAGCTGCCCTCTGCCCCCGACCTTGGTCCAGATGCCATGACAGACACACCAGTGGAGGAATCCCTCTTCCAAATCATCCACTGCTACCACCAGTACGTGGCACGGGAAGGGGACGTGGAGACCCTGTCCCTGGAGGAGCTGAGGTCCTTGCTCATGGACAACGTGCCCCACTTCATGGAGAGCTTGGTGCGTGGGGTCTGGGTGGGGTGGGGGTAAGGTGGGGCCTGGAGGTGGGGCGTGGTTATCAGGGGTGGAAGTGAGCAGTGACGGTTTTAGGTACAAGGAACCATCTTCCACGAGCATTTCCAACTCAGGCGAGGGGAGGGCAGGCTCTGTGGCCAGAGGAAGGGATGGGCCCAGCTGGCTTTATTTCTATCCCCTGAACCTCCCTGCCTGGCCTCACTCCAGTCCAACCACAGCTGATCCCTGAAACTCAATCCTAACCCCAAACCTATTTATTTCTCTGCTCATCCTGTATCCTTAGTGCAGACCCTAAACCTACCTTCTACCCACAGCCCACCTGGTCAGCGACCCTGCCCCACCCCCACCCCACCTCAGCAAGCCCTTTGGGTTCCAGCCCCTTCTCCCGGGTCTAGCATGAGCCTGGCCCACCTGCCCTCTGCGCCTGGGGGAGGGAGGGCTGGTTTAGGCTGCAGCTGCCCCTCTAGACCAGGGTGGGAGTAGGGTGTGGGTGGGGGCAAGAAAGGCAACGTTCCTCTCCCGTCTCCTGTCTGAAGGGCTCACACAGTCTCTCAGACCAACCCCGGGAACCCCGGCCCAGACTCTACTTAGGCCCTGCTATCTCTGTTGTCAGGCCCAGCCCTGTGATTACCGGGCTCCTTGAGGACTGCAGGGCCTGCCGGAGATGTGTCTCTGGGGCGTGCCCTCGGCCCTCTGTCCCGTGCCTGGGGGGATCTCTGGGCTGTATCATCTCAAGAGGACTGCAAGTCAGTCCCCCTGACCCCAAGGTCCTCACATTCCAGGAGAAGGCCCTCCGTTGGACACTTCCCATCTCCTTCTGCCTGATTTTGGGGAACCTGTCAGAAAAGGCAGCTTGCCTTCAGTTCATTGGAGTCTAACTCTGAGGGTTGTGAAGGAAGAGAATTCAGTGGGTGGTTATTGGGGTTGGTCCCCGTTTTCTAGGACTCTTTTCTTTCCAGAGCCAAACTGCCTCTGCGGTGGGGCTGTGCCAGGATCTCCCAAGCCCTGCCACTGGTGGGGCTGCCCACCCTGGTACAGGTCTCTTGGGTCTCAGCACCTGGGCAGAGGGCAGACAGGTAGGAGCCTGGGAGGTGGACTGAGGTGATGGCAGCTGAGGAGAGCCAGCCCAGAGCAGGACGCCTCCGGCTCTTTTCTGGTTAACAGCTCTGTGGAGGAGGTATAATTATAGGAACAATAGATGGTGGGGAGATAGGGAGAGCTGGGCAGGCCTGCCCTCAGGGACGAGGACCTTACCCCTGGCTGCAGCTGCTCCTCACAGGTGCTCCTTCCTCTGGGTGCTTTCTGAGGGCTCCACGCTGGATTCTCCACACCCACCAGCCAAGTCCGGCTGAGACGTGCTTCTTCAGCCACTGCCCAGTGCCCCAGTGCCCATCTCATCTCAGCCTGTGCCCTGCCCTTCTCACCCTGTCCCTTCCACCTGAAGTGCCTCCACACTCTCCTATACCACCCCCCCAGGGCCAGATCAAGGCCACCTCTTCCGTCCTGTGGGACACCCTGCACAACTCCGGGGCTCGTGGCTTTGTCCTTTCCCTCATCCTGCACCTCCTGTGTGGCATGGCAGAGCATGCAAGCCATCTCTAATCCCGGTAGATGTCATAGCACGCAGCGTCCACACTGCTTGGTGCCAGCACCGCTTGGTGCTGGGGGCACAGAGATGAGCAAGGGCTGACTCTGCCCTCAGGGAGTGCCCAGAGGGAAGGAGGGAGGCTCATCCCCTGCCTCCAGGAAGCACCTGATCAGGGAGCTTGCAGTCCAGCTGGGCAGACAGGCTCAGGAGCTACTGACGGTGGTTGTGAAGGGGTCTGGAGTCTCCAGGCCACCCAGCTTAGGGACTGTCAGCAGTGCCCAGTTGATACCCACGCCGTTCCAGGTCCATGCAGCGGAGCATCCACACACCTGTCTGTTTGCCTGATTTTCAGCCCGTGGCTTCCTCACCATGACTGTTTGAGTGTGGAGTTGTTTCCTGCAAGTGCCTGCAGGCAGGGCTGTGCCACGGTGGTCCCCCACCCCAACTCCAGCAGGTGGTGGGGAGCCCTGGTCGGTGGATGGTGTTGACCTCCACCCTGCTCCCCAGGGCCGGAAGGAGCCGTACTACATCTCAGAGTTGTTCTGGGCAGCGGACAAGAACAAGGACAACCAGATCTGCTTTGAGGAGTTCCTCTATGTCCTGGGCAAGCTGGTAAGGGACTACCACTGGCAGTACCACCGACAGCTCTGCACCCACTACTGCCCCCAGCACGGCCTCTACTAGAGGGGGCTCAGCCTGCACTCCCCTGGGTGTGTGTCTGTGTGTGCATGCCCACATACATGGAAGACAGCTGTGTGGGAGGAGAATAAAGCAATATCATAAATACACCTGGATATTAGTCAATTCATGCTTCTAGGCATCCCGTATGGTCCAGAAGGAGGTTTGGTCCCCTCTCTGGGGAACATCCATTCTGGGTGGGAGATACTGCCCCTCCCTCCAGGGAGTTCCTGTCTGAGGGGGGAGGACAGCCCCTGCCTCCAGGGAGCTCCCAGTCTGAGGGAGGGGACAGCCCCTGCCCTCAGGTTTCTGTCTGGGTTTGAGGAGTCTCTTGTCTTGGGGAGATGGCACTCGGTGAAGCAATTTAGGCCACACTAGCAATGTATCTGATCATTCACTCACTCTCACACATGATTGGACGGGAGGCTCTAAGGGCCGGGGTGCACTGACCAAGGCCCCCTGTTTGAAGGTCTCCCTGCTCCGAAGGAGAGAGCTAAGGAATCTAGATGAAAAATGGAGCACCTGGGGCTGGGAAGGGGCCAGGAGGCGAAGGCATGGGATGGGGAGGAATCATTTCAAGCTGAGGGAGCAGCAGGAGAAATTATACGGTGTATCCTAGGACAATAAATAGCTTGGTGGGAAATTAGTGTCCACGGAGAATCGTATGGAATGAGTTTGAAAGGGTGGGTTAGGACCAGACTCTGGGAATCCTCGGATGCTGAGCACTGGAATGTGGAGTTCATTCTTTAGGTAATGGGACCCCTGCGATTGTTTCAGTGGCGGGAGGGAGGTCATATGACCTGAGCTGTTCTTTTAGAATAAGCCAGGGGCAAGAAGAAGAGATGAGACAGGGCAGAGGCTGGAGGCCAGGAGACCCATTAAGAGGGTCCTGCAGCAGCTTGGGCAGGAAGCAATGAGGCTGGGCTGCATAAGTGGCTGCAGGGGTGGAGAGGAGGGAGTGGACACAAGAGATCCTGGACCTCGGCAACTGCAGGTGGAGGCTGAGGAAGGGGAGACCCAGAAGGAGGCTGAGGTTTCAGGCTCGATGACAGAGGCGAGATGATGCCTGTAACTGACACGCAGATCACGGATGTCAGGGTGGGAAGCCGGTCTGTGAAGAATGTGATGAGTTGGGTTTTGTGCATACTGAGTGAGTCAGGAGCTGACAATCCAGCCTGGCAGAGCAGCAGACACCCACTGTCAGGAAGAGGGCATGGATAGGGTAAATGGAATGTGGGAGACTCAGTCAAGGAAGACTTCCTGGAGGAGGCAAGGGGGGGGGCTCTGTTTTCTTAACAACAAATGGTGATGGTTGTGGGTATTACTCCTAACTCTGGACAATTCATGACTCACTGATCCAAGTCCTCCCGTGGTCCCTGACCCTCCCTGAGACCTGCCCATCTCTGTGTCGTCTCTTTCTCTGTCTCTCTCCCTGGGAGCCCAGACCACAGATGCACAATTTCTCTGGAAGAGTCTCCTCTACCTTTAGGAGCTGTTGGAGTCCCTGGGTGGTGCAAATGGTTAATGGGAAAATGTCAGAGGTTCAGGTCCACCCAGAGGTACCTCAAAAGAAAGGACTAGCAATCTACTTCCAAAAAATCAGCCACTGAAAACCCTATGGAACACAGTCCTACTCTGATACATGTGGGGTCATCATGAGTTGGAGTCAACTCCATGGAAACTGGTTTTTTGGTGGGGCCCCATCGTGGTGAGCTTTCTTTTCTGAGGACGGGTCTGGGAACTGGCGTCCCGAGCTTGTTTTGACAGATTTAAAAGAATGATGAGAGATCATCTGTGCTGCTCAGCTGTTCAAATGACCAGGGTGGTCATTTAAGGGACTTGATGTGGTTCCTTCCCCCAGGCTAGGTCTGCGTGCCAAGCCAAGTAAGCAACTTCCTAAGGGCTGAGCCCAGGAGACGCTGGCGTCTGAGCAGCCCAGTTCTGAAGCAGAGTTCTGCAGGTGCTGCTTTCTGGGCCTGGACGGCCACCTGCCTCCACTTCCACATCTGACAGTCCTGCCAGAGCTTGCCCTTCAGGACTAGCTGGGCCCTAGCCTCTTCTAGGCAGACGTCCACGCCCGTTTCCCTCTGGTCCTTCCTATGAGCTCCTGCTGGGTCTGAACCTCCCCTCCTATGTCCAGGTCCTGCTGCCCAGCGGTTGTGTTTGTACTGTTCTCTGTCTGCCATCAAGGTGCATGTGGTTAAGTGCTGGGCTGTTAACTGCAAGGTTGGCAGTCTTAGTCTGCCCAGAGGCACTTTGGAAGGAAGGCCTGGTGATCTGTTTCCGAAAGATCACAAACATAACACCCTCACGGGGCTCAGTTCTAGTCTGCACACATGGGGCTGTCATGAGACAGAACAGACTTGACAGCAAGTTCTGTTTGGTTTTGTTTAGTCTTCTGCCAAGGCGGAGACCCTGTCTCGTCCATCTCTGCATCCCTGGCCCTGGCCCAGGTGTCTAGCCCTCATTCTGTGCTCAGCAAATGCTTGAAAAGGAAGGAACCCAGGAATGGGGGCCTGCAAGATTGCAGCCCTGAGACCCAGCTTTGTGCGTCCTCCACTGGGCTGTTAGTCCTGTCTAGAGACATGCAAATAGTTGATGGGGTTACTCAGGCCATTTTCCTCGAGGCCCAGGGGAGCTTGCACTATCTGAAGAGTTCTTCCTGCCTGTCTCACCTGAAAAGTGCTTGGTTCTCTCCAAACAAGGGCCGCCCAGCCTGCACCCTCCTGCCTTCCTCTTGCCCCTCCTGGGGGTTTCTCCACCAGCTCTGCCAGCTCTGTCCCCACTTCCTCAGCTTTGGGGATGGGCCTAGTCAGGCCTGTTGGGACACACACCCCAGAACTGAGCTGTTTCCTGTAAACATGACCAGGTCCCAGCTCCCCTAGGTTGCCCCATGTCTGTCAGTCTGATTGCAGTCTTTGCTTTTCTCCCAATCTGCTTTCCCAATTTCTGACACCCATCTTCTTGTTTTTTTGTTTTTTTTTTTAGCCATATATATGTATATATATATGTATATTTGTTGTGCTTTAAGTGGAAGTTTACAATTCAAGGTAGTTTCTCATACAAAAATTTATACATACATTGTTATGTGATCCTAGTTTCTCTCCCTATACTGTGACAGCACACTCCTCCTTTCTACCCCGGCTTTCCTGTGTCCATTCAGCCAGCTCCTGACCCTCTCTGCCTTCTCATCTTGCCTCTGGACTGGAGCTGCCCATTTAGTCTCATGGATCTACTTGAGCTAAGGAGCACACTCTTCACGAGTATCATTTTATGTCCTATAGTCCAGTCTAATCTTTGAAGTGTTGGCCTCGAGAATGGTTTTGGTTTTGGGCTAACAGAGTCCAGGGGCCATGTCTTCTGGAGTCCCTCCAGTCTGAGTCAGACCATTAAGTCTGGTCTTTTTACTAGAATTTGAGTTCTGCACCATACTTTTCTCCTGTTCTGTCAGGGACTCTCTGTTGTGTTCCCTGTCAGGGCAGTCATTGGTGGTAGCTGGGCACCATCTAGTTCTTCTGGTCTCAGGCTGATGGAATCTCTGGTTTATGTGGCCCTTTCTGTCTCTTGGGCTAATATTTAACTTGTGTCTTTGGTGTTCTTCATTCTCCTTTGCTCCAGGTGGGTTGGTACCAATTGACGCATCTTAGATGGCTGCTTGCTAGGTTTTAAGACCCCAGATGCCACTCACCAAAGCAGGATGTGGAATATTTTCTTAATAAACTTTCTTATGTTAATTGACCTAGATGTCCCCTGAAAGCAGGTCCCCACACCTCTGTCCCTGCTACTCTGTCCCTCGAAGTGTGTTTGATTGTATTCAGGAAACTTCTTAGCTTTTGGTTTAGTCCAGCTGTGCTGACTTCCCAGTATTGTGTGTTGTCCTTCTCTTCACCTAAGATAATTCTTGTCTACTATCTAGTTAGGTTCTCATACAAAAATTTATACATACTTTCTTATGTGACCTTTGTTGCTCTCCCTATACTGTGACAGCACACCCCTCCTTTCCACTCCTGACTTCCTGTGTCCATTCAACCAGCTCTTAACACTTTCTGCCTTCTCATCTCGCCTCTGGACAGGAGCTGCCCATTTAGTCTCAGGTATCTACTTGGGCTAAGAAGCACACGCTTCACGAGTATCATTTTATGTCCCATAGCCCAGTCAAATCTTTGTCTGAAGAGTTGGTCTCGGGAACTGTTTTAGTTCTGGGTTGACAGAGAGTCTGGGGGCCTTGCTTTCTGGGGTTCTTCCAGTCTCAGTCAGACCATTAAGTCTGGTCTTTTTACTAGAATTTGAGTTCTGCACCCCACCCTTCCCCTGCTCCATCAGGGACTCTCTGTTGTGTTCCCTGTCAGGGCGGTCATTGGTGGTAGCTGGGCACCATCCAGTTCTTCTGGTCTCAGGCTGATGAAGTCTCTGGTTTATATGGCCCTTTCTGTATCTTGGGCTAATACTTTCCTTGTGTCTTTGGTGTTCTTCATTCTCCTTTACTCTAGGTGGTTGGGACCAGTTGATGCATCTTAGATGGCCGCTTGCCAGCTTTTAAGACCCCACTCACCAAAGTAGGATACAGAACATTTTCTTAATACACTTTGTAATGCCAGTTGACCTAGATGTCCCCTGAAAGCATAGTCTCCAGACCCCCGCCCCTGCTACTCTGTCTCTCGAAGGGTTTGATTGTATTCAGGAAACTTCTTAGCTTTGGTTTAGTCCCGTTGTGCTGACTTCCCCTGTAGTGCCTGATACCCATCTTCTGAGAGGTCAGCTCAGCCTGTCTCCTGTGCTCCCTGAAGCCCTCCAGGCTGTCTGTCCAGGGGGAGCATCTCAGGGAGGGGACAGCATTTTATGATCTCTCTGGTCATCTTGCCCCACTGACGTGCACAAGATGCTGGGAGGAAGTCCTTACTCATGTCTGCCTAAGTCTCCCTCGCTAAACCTGGGGCCTGTTTCCTTACTCTCTGGACAAAGAAAGCTGTGTCCACCAGGATGGTTCCCACGGGAATGGGCTCAAGGGAGGCATCTCCCTAAGGTGCAGGGATCTGGGACGACATCTCCATCAACTTCTTCATCAACCCTTCGAGAGGGTTTGTTAGCATGAGCGTGATCTCAGAATGGTGAGAAATCCTAAGGAGAGGCTCAGACAAGCCACCTCACTTGTTCTAATGTGTGCTTTTGGGCACCAAAACCATCAAAATAAAGCAGGACACAGATCCATAAACCTCAAGCAACTCCCTGAGCCTCAGTTTCCTCATCTGTCAGATAAGGATAACTGTACCTGTAATGTTCACTTCACACAGTGCTGCGAGTTTCAAATGAGTTGTTGTTGTTGTTAGGTGCCGTCAAGTCTGTTCCGACTCATAGAGACCCTATGCACCACAGAACAAAACACTGCCTGGTCCTGCACCATCCTTACAATCGTTGTGATGCTTGAGCCCATTGTTGCAGCCACTGTGTCAATCCATCTCGTTGAGGGTCTTCTTCTTTTTCACTGACCCTCTACTTTACCAAGCATGATGTCCTTCTCCAGGGACTGATCCCTCCTGACAACTCAGATGAGTTAGCGGATGTCAAAACACTTTGAGACTATGATGTTCTGTTTTCGGGTAAGATGCTGTTAAGCCAGGTCATATAGGATAGTGCCTGGTGGCTAACAGGTGTGTACTAAGTGCCTGAGCATTGCCGTGTTGTACATCAGCATCAGCTCCATTCTCTTGTTACTGCACATGGCCAAGCAGAGCCTGAACAACCTCTTCCAAGGATGTTAGACTGTATTTGGTTTACCGACTTATACTTTACCTTATTCCAAAAATGATCTGAGGTGGCTTGAGTAATAAAAGGTCTCCCCAGTGGCGCATACAGTGTGCACTCAACTACTAACCTAAAGGTTGGCAGTTGAGCCCACCCAACAGTGCCATGGAAGAAAGGCCTGGTGATCTGCTTCCATAAAGATTACGGCCAAGAAAACCCTATGGAACAGTTTTACTCTGCACACGTAGGATCTCAAGGAGTCAGAATCGACTCAATGGCAATGGGTTTGCTTTTTTTGGTTTTGATGTAATAAAACGAATTTCTGTTTTGGACAAAGGATAAGTCAAAAGTTCAATTTTGCATTCATTGATCCTGTCAATAACTATTAATTGAGCACCTACTCTGTGCCAGGCACTAGGGGTGCAAAAATAAATATGGTCTCTGCTCTAATGGGGCTCCTAGGACCAAGTAAGAGACAGAAAATGGGCAGATGAATCCGACTACAGCAAAGCCCATCTGTGATGGAGTGAGGATAAGGATTTGGGTAGCACCTAGCAGAGAAGGATCAACTCCATCTAGATAGGGGTGGAGAAGGGGGATCAGAGATGGATGGGGAGCAGATGGCACGTGAGCCAATCAGGAAGGATGAGTAAGACTTTACCAGCTAGAAGAGGCTTTCCCGGCTGTGGCAGGAAGTGGATTATGTTGCATTGCATCATAAATCACCTAAATTGTTCAATGCACCCAATGTTGCATATCTCTCTGTGGGCCTCAGTTTCTTTATCTGTAAAATGGGAATTATAACAGTACAGATTGCATAGGATTATTGTGAGAATTAAATGACTCGATGCAAGAAAAACACTTAGAACAGTTCCTGGCACTGGGTGAATGAGCAATAAATAACAGCTATTATTTTTATGGTTATTTTGCTATGATTTGTTGCTCTTGTTGCTGTTATTGTGTATGCCAGGCTCTGTGTTGGGTCCTGGGGAGGCAGAGATGAATGATCCATAGTCTGGGTCCTCGAGGGGCTCACAGTGCGTCTGGGGAATCTGGGCAGTCACCACGGCATATGCTCTCACAGTATAGCTAAGTGATACTCTAAGCACTTCACAAATTCTTGAGTGTGAACTTTTTATTAAAGCATAGCACACATTAAGAAAAGTCCACAAATCCTAAATATTTTGCATTTACTATTAATCCTTGTAGGAGCCCTGGTGGAGCAGTGGTTAAGCACTCAGCTGCTAACCGAAAGGTTGGCAATTTGAATGCCCCAGCTGCTCTGCGAGAGAAAGATGTGGCAGTCTGCTTCCATAAAGATTAACAGACTTGGAAACCCTGTGGGGTAGTCCTACTCTGTCCTACAGGGTTGCTAGGAGTCAGAATCGATTCTAAAGGCAATGGGTTCGGTTTTTATTAATTCTTGAATGTCCTTAGGGGGTGCAAACTGTTTGTACTTGATTGTTAACCTAAAGGTTGGCAGTTTGAACCCACTCAGTGGTACCGTGGAGGAAAGGCCTGGTGATCAGCTTCTGTCATGGTTACAGCCAAGAAAACTCTATGGAGCAGTTCTACTCTCTATCACACTGGATCACTATGAACCAGAATCGACACAGTGACAAGTAACAACAACGACTATTAATCTTAACAAAAACACTACATGGTTCTATTTTTAATCTCCATTTAATAATCGAGATACCTGAAGCACAGAGAAGGTAAGTAATTTACCCAAGATCACACAGTTATTAAGGAAATGGTGTAACAACGTCCAAAGAGCTGTGGAAACATGGAGAGAGAGGCTAATCCCATATACTTCCCCTAGGGGGCGACAATGGCCTGGGTCCTGGGGAAGCACAGGGTGAATGCTTGATGAACACATGGAGGAAGGCAAGAAGAGAGGGGTTTCCCCGACAGAATCACGTTCTTGTTGGATCCCTGTCCGGAGCCAGTTTGTCTGGTAAGCAGTCCCGGTTCTGATACATCTCACTGGGAAATTGTGTGAACCACTTCACCTTTCGGGGCCTCAGCTTCTTCATCTGTAGACTGGCTGGGTTTTGTGTCCTGCCTTTCCTGATGGGCATATTCCGAGGCTCTTACAAGGTTAATGTGGATCTGAAGGGCTTTGTCAACACATTAAATGTATCACATACTTCAGTGTTGAGAGATAGTTAATCCAAGTGGCATTTTGTTCGGAGGTGGCTTGCTTCTCTGGAAATCCTGGGGGGAATTAGCCACTTCTTCTTTTTCTCTAAATGAACTCCTCCACTGCAGAGAAGGTTCCTCTCTGCAGCCCAGGCTCCTGGGGTCCAAGGCACCATACTCATCCCAGAGAGGGATAAAGGGCCCCTGCTGCTGTTTATGCGGCATGTCCAGTGCACATGGACCTCACCCAGTCTCCCAGGGGCCCAGTGCACCCCAAGTTCACAGAGCAGGAGATTTTGGGAGGGGTGTGGGCAGAAGGGTAGGAACTGATTTAGCCCTTAGCAACATAGATCCCCACAGAAAGTCCAACCACCCATATAAAACAACAACAATAATAGTAATACTGCACCTTTCATTGCTGAAGATCAGCAGTAGGGTAAGTGTTCCTAACTTTTAGGGGGTCTTTGGACACTTTTGAAAATCTGTTGCAAGCCTTGGAGGGACGTGCTTATACACATACAGTCAAAATGATGCCCTCGATTTCAATTCAGTTTCAGAGGTGCATCACCAAAAAAACCAAACCAGTTACCATTGAGGTGATTCCTACTCACGGTGACCCCGTCTGTGTCAGAGTAGAAGTGTGCTCCATTGGGTTTTCAAGGCTATGACTTTTCAGAAGCAGATCTCCAGGCTTTCTTCTGATGCACCTCTGAGTAGGTCCGGACCACCAACCTTTTGGCTAGTAGCTGAGCGCTTAACTGTTTGCATCAGCCAGGACTCCCTCAGAGGTGCAGAGACGGCCACAAATGCATGGGATTGGTAACAGCAACAGCAACAGTAATAGAGAAAGAGGGCTCCCCACGCCTCTTCCTGGTCTCTCCTGCCCGGCAAACTACTGCTGGCTGAGCTAACAGGTTCCTCCTTCCACTCTTCCTCTTCCTCCCCCCATCAAAAATCCCCATTCTTGAAGTTATTGCCACATTCACCTGCTTGGGAAACAAGTGGCTTGTAGCAACCTTAGCAGGGAACCGCTGTCTCTGAATGGCCCGAGGCCTGGGTGGCTGGGCTGGCCTACCTGCTATAAAACGGAACTGACACTCAGCCCCGCATGTCCTTTGTCAAGTCTGCTTCGGGGAGACCTGGTGAGGAGTCTGCCTCCTACTCTGAGCTTCCCCTGGGGAGGGTCAGGGGAGTGGAGCAGCTGTTTCTGAAGGAAAAGCAGCAAAGCTCTGGGAGGCCTGGAACAAGGATCAGGGGCTTCTGGAGGAGAGGGAGGCAGGCAGAAGGCTGCTGAGGCAGGTCGTCCGAGCCCTTTTCCAGTGGGTGAGGGCATGTGTGTTTCCTAAACTGGGCCTTCTTGGGCAGGGGTGGGGGTGTAAGGAGAGCTGGCAGGCAGTTGTGTGTGTCTGTGTGTGTGTGTCTGTGTGTATGTGTGTGTGTGTGTGTGGACCCTGCCCCTCCCACACCTGCATCGCACCCCATCCCATTATAGCCATAGTCATCCTCTGGATGAGTTATTTGAATGGTGCAGGACAGGCCAAATCGTTACTCTGGGGGATGAACCCTCTGTGTGTCCCCTCACTCTTCACTCTGCCCTGGGCAGAGGCGTCATCTCCATACTGGGATTCTCCATGTGGCTTCCTTCTTCTAGGTGAGGCAAAACTTGGGCACCATGCTGACCGACCTGGAGAATGCCATGGACTCGCTCATCACCGTCTACCACAAGTACTCTCTGGTGAAGGGGAATGCCCACGCCCTCTACAAGGACGACTTGAAGAATCTGTTACAGATAGAGGGTCCTTGCTATCTGAAGGTGAGGAGGGCAGGTGTGGTTGGGTTCTCTGCCTGGCTGTGATGATGCTGGGACTTTAGTCCTCTTGCTGTAGACTGCATGACTCAGTTCTCTCTGATACCTTTACACTCTTGTTTTTTTTTCCTCAATCCTGACAGATAAAGGATGCAGACACCTGGTTTAAAGAGTTGGATATCAACAGTGATAATGCAATTAACTTCCAGGAGTTCCTCATATTGGTGATAAAGATGGGCGTGATAGCCCACCATGACATCCACAAAGAGTAGCGGGCAACTGGGCCCTGGGGCTGGGCCCCTGGACATATATCTGCAGAATAATAAAGTAATTGGTATCTTGAGCTCCCTTAGTCTCTTGCTTTTCTATTGTGGAATCAACTTCCTGGGACTGAGGGACGGTTGGAAACCCAAAGGAAGGAAAAGAACCTGTATTCCCCCTCCCCCTTTCCCGACTTCTCATAAGACTTCAGTCCTTACCACAAGTCTGGTTTCCTTCCCTCTGTCTTCCCAAACCATTTCCAAGTCTCTTCAAGCCCCACGGTCCTGAGTCATTGATTCTAGGACTTAAGGAGTCTCAAAGCCCATGATACCATAGCTGTTGTTCCCAAAAGTGTGATTTGTGGGAATGGGGTGATGTAAAGAAAATTTATAATGCTCTCTAAGCTCAATTTTAGTTTCCAAGCTAAATGGCTTAGATGTGACTCTTGGGAAGGTAGAGCGATAGCTACATAGGAGTGAGTGAGTGTGTGTGTGTGAGAGGGAGAGAGACAGAGAGAGAGAGACTCTGTGTGTGGTGTGACTGTATGTGGAAGTTTAAAGTCCTATATTAAGTAACGCTAAGAGTAGACCTGGGTTTTGTCCTTAGAGATTTCAGAAACTTTCTACTTCACCCCTGCTCCCAATCTTCCAACTTAACTAAGTAATAAAGTAATTGCGAGATAGAACAATACATCCGTAAAACTCAACTCAAAGAATAAGTTACTCAAATGCTGCTCTGTGGCGTCTGTGCTCTGTGTATCAGTGAATTATCTAAAATAACTTCCCAATCATTACCTCTATGGATTTTTTCCAAGGGCCTGGTAACATGGAAAGGCCAGAAGATGAACAGGCACCTCTCACCAGAACCCAAACCCCAAGCTGGGGTTCCATGCTGTGGTTTGGGAAAGTTTCTGCTCTTCCCACTCAGGAGATGGGGCAATGATGGTAGTGGTGGGGAAGAGGTAGGGAAATGTCAACCAGAATCACTAAGCCAGGGTTCTTCACTTGGTCTGCCTCTGTAACTCTGAAATTGACTTGGAATTGAGCACATGATTTTGAGTGTATGCGTATAAGCACATTCTTCCATGGCATTAGATTTTCAAGAAGATGCAAAGACCCCCAAAAATGTGAAGAACACTTTTCCTAGCTACTGGTCTTCAGGAATGAAAGGTGTAGTATTACTATTATTGTTGCTGTTTTATATGGGTGGTTGGACTTTTTGTGAGGTTGTGTGTTGCTCAGGGTTAAATAAGTTCTTACCCTGCTGCCCACACCCCTCCCAAAATCTCCTTCTCGGTGAAGCTGGGGGTGTGCTGGGCCCCTGGGAGACAAAGGCTTGGTGGGGCCCCTCTGCTCTGGACAAGGCACTAAGCTGCTGCACACTCCGTATAAACAGCAACAGATACCCTTCATCCCTCTCTGGGATGAGTATGGTGTCTTGGACCCCAAGACCTTGGGCTGCAGAGAGGAAGCCTTCTCTGTGGTGGGGGTGGTTCTTTGGAGAAGCCAGGAGTACTTCGTGCCCAAAAGGAGAAGATCAAAACCAAAACCTACTGCTTTTGAGTTGATTCTAACTTGTAGCAGGAGAAGAGGAGGTGGCTAATTCCTTCAGGATTTCAGGAGGGCACTCTTCTCCCCAGTAAAATACCACTTAGACTAACTGATTTCCAACGCTGCAGATTACTCACTTCAGATCACTGGGCTTTTTGTTTGTAGTAGACTTTAATCTTATTAAAATGCAAATGAGCAGAGAAAGGCAACAGCCTAAATCTTTATTCATCAACACTTTAATTACCCTCCAGTTTTGTTACCAACTTACACCTTAGCGACAATGATTGACAGCCAGCTGAGAGTTAAGATTGGGACTAAAACGGGGCGGGGGAGTCTGGTCATCCGAGTACAGAGATGAACTTCCGCCAGGGCAAGTGGGAAGATCCAAGACTAAATAATTTCCTTTTTCAGCTTTGCTGAAGGATAGTGTCTTAGTCACCTAGAGCTACTATAACAGAAATACCACAAGTGGATGGCTTTAACAAAGAGAAATTTATTTCCTCAGAGTCTGGTAGACTAGAAGTCCAAATTCAGGGTGTCAGCTCCAGGGGAAGGCTTTCTCTCTCTGTCGGTCTGGAGGAAGATCCTTGTCATCAATCTTCCCTTGGTCTAGGAGCTTCTCCGCACAGGAACCCTGAGTCCAAAGGACGCTCTCTGCTCCTGGCACTGCTCTCTTGGTGGTATGAGATTCCCTTCTCTCTGCTTGCTTCCCTCTCCTTTTATCTTGTAAGATAAAAGGGGGTGCAGGCCACACCCCAGGGAAACTCCCTTTACATTGGATCAGGGATGTGACCTTAGTAAGGGTGTTACAATTCCACCTTAATCCTCTTTAACATAAAATTACAATCACAAAATGGAGGACAACCACACTATACTAGGAATCATGGCCTAACCAAGTTGACACAAATTTAGAGGGACACAGTTCAATGCATTACAGATAGCTTTACCTGTCCCTCAAAGCCAGTGCTTCCACCTTCCACCAGAGCCAGTGGGACACAATCTGTGCATTACAAAAGTGATGATTATGCATCTTGAGAGGCACCCCCGAACCCCGTTCCCGTCAAGTTGATTCCGACTCATGGTGACGCTTTAGAACAGAGTAGAACTGCCCCATAGGGTTTCCAAGGAGAGGCTGGTGCATTCGAACCGCCAACCTTTTGGTTAGCAGCCATAGCTCTTACCCACTGTTCTACCAGGGCTCATTAGTAATACACATGTGTTACAATTTCCTCTAGAGTTCCTGGGTCATGCCAATGATTAAAGTTCTCAGCTGCTAACCAAAAGGTTGGAGGTTCAAGTTCATCGAGGGACACCTCAGAAGAAAGACTTGGCAATCTACTTCTGAAATATCAGCCATTGAATACCCCATGGAGCATTGGTGCTTTGATGGTAAATTTTGGTCTTCCATGCAAGACAGCTGGGTTGGATTCCCAGCCAAGGCATCTCTACTCATCTGTTAGTGGAGACTTTTGTGTTGCTGTGATGCTGAACAGGTTTAAGTGGAGCTAGCAGACCAAGACAGACTAGGAAGAAAGGCCTTCCAAAAAGTGATCTACTTCTGAAAATCAGCCAATGAAAAATAAAACAAAAACAAAAACTCTATGGAGCACACTTCTACTCCAACACACACAGGGTCGCCATGAGAGGAACTGACTCAACAGCAACTGGTACTGGTATAAGTTCATCCAAGTACAATATCCTCCAACACGTAGTTCAAAGCTGAGCATCGAGCCCAGATGTGGTCAAGCAAAAGAAGATGGGGAGCATTCCATCAGCAGCAACAACAACAACACAAAAGGAGAGTGCAACCCCATCCTGCATCTCAGTGATTCATACTGGTGGTGGTGGTGGCGATGGCAGTGTGTGCGTCTGGGTGGGAGGTTGGGGTAACTTATTCTCGCACCTTATATTCCACTTGAAAATGCATTATTGGACTTGCTGTTGATGTGTTTTATTTATTTACTTTTTTCCAGGGGGGATCTACTATTACTAATCCTGCTTGCCTTTAGTTGAAAGACCAAGGAATCTGCTTTCCTTGCACCACCTATAGGGACCATGAGGAAGGTGGTCCAGAAGTGCGCTTTGGGGTTTCACCATAAGTGAAGGACAGGGCTTATGAAGAATTGGGTCAATACTCAGCTATCAACAGTTGATCTCTGAGCTCATGGGGCAGGGGAGGAGAACCAGTGGGCACTGGCAGCCTGGAGCAAGAGGTGGGGTGAGGGAGGCAATCCTTGGAAGCTTCCTGGAGGAGATAGCCTTGGATATTATAATTTACAAACAACATTGTGCCTGTTACAGGAACCCCTGGGTGGGGTCAGATGTGGCTCGTGGCCCTGAGCAAGGTGATTGGTTTCCTGTTTCCTCAGCTACAAAAGAAGAATAAGGAAGCGGGAACTTAAGAAATAGTAGTTTAGCAGGGAAACCTCACACAACGTTTGAACCCACAAAGCAGCCCTTGGTTCATCGATTGAGGCAGATCTGGCCGCTGAGATTTCCGGGGCCTGTATGGATGGCCTGCTTGAAACCCTGGTTCTCTACCCAGCCATACGTAGGCCCCCTGACTTCAGCCAGCTCCTAGTGATTGTGAAAACAATCCCAAAGGGCATGGAGAAGGATCTGGAATTGGGCAAGTCGTCCCTAGCAGCTGAGTGAAAGAGCTTATTTCAATGGAAAAGACTTCCTTGTACCTCCCTCCAGTTGGGAGCCAGACAGTTTTGGTTGGGTCACAGATGCCAGCCCGTTTTCTTGCCTCCTGACTGGGGGAATTCAGTCTAAATCCCCAGGGGCTGAAGAGAGGAAGGGAAGCTGCCAACGTTTATTGTACTCCTGCTTTGAGTCAGTGTGGAAGAAAAAAAAAAAAAAAAAACAAACCCTGGAAAAAGACATTTCAAACCTGGAAAAAGACAAAATGGCAGTTGCTTATATTTTTGTCTCATGCTAGAGTAGCAGGTCCTTACTAGTCATTAATCTTTCACCATCTGACACTTTTGTGACTTGGTCGGCACAGTGTATTTGATGAACAATTCACAACAGATAAAGAAATAGTTTACATCTGCTTGACAGGGTAATATGATTTTATAACCTAGTAGAGAAGTTAAACCCAAAACTGTTAGGATTTTTATCACCTTAGTGAAAGTTAAAAGACTCTTATACCTAATTTATCAATCTTACTTAGGCTTTCATTTCCTAGCTGTCTTTATAGACTGACAAATATTCTTCAAACCAGCCTTCCTTAAAAACAAAACAAAACAAAAAACAAACCTTAATTAATTAAAAAAATCTTCCTTGCTGGTTCTCTCAGTAATGAATGAAAGCAAAAACTTAAACAAAACAAAACATTTATTTATTTATTTTTCTTTCTTTCTTTTTTAAATTGTGCTTTAGGTGAATGTTTATAGAACAAATTTATTTCTCATTAAACAGTTAATACAACAAATTGTTTTGTGGCATTGGTTGCCAATACTGGGATGTGTCAGCACTGTCCCCTTCTTCACCTGGAGTTCCCTGTTTCCATTTGTCCAGTTTTCCTG